CTGCTCACCTGAAGTCTCTGAGCCACGCTGCGAGCAGGCGAGGAGACACTTGAGGGGCAGCTGACCGTCGGCAGCACTCCTGCGCATAAACCCTAAACCCTAAACCCTAAACCCTAAACCCTAAACCCTAAACCCTAAACCCTGACCCAGCAACAGCTCTGGCGTCTTGAAGCGTCTCGCTCGAATAAAGCAAAAGGAGCTTAAGCCCTAAACCCTCAGGCCAGCGAACAGCGAAACCCCTAAGCCCTAAACCCTAAACCTTAAACCCTAAACCCTAAACCCTAAACCTCGATATAAAGAGCCAATGCAGCTGCCCAAAGAGGACCAGCAAGACACACAATGAGAGGGACAGAGGCAGCAGCGGAGAGCAGCAGCAGCAGCAGCAGCAGCAGCAGCAGCAGAAACGGCAGCAGCAAGAGCAGTAGCAGGAGCAGCAGGAGCAGCACAGCAGCCAGAAGCAGCAGCAAGAAGAGCAGCAACACTCTCATCGTCGGCATAAGCAGCAGCAGCAGCAGCACAGCAGCCAACACCAGCAGCGTGAGCGGCAGCAACAGCAACATGAAGAGCAGCAGCACCAGCTGCTGTTGCTGTATATGTTGCTGCTCCTGCTGAGCGTGTTCCTGCTGCTGCCGTATATGTTGCTGCTGCTACTGTGCAGCAGCAGCAGCAACATAAACAGCAGCAGCAGCAGCATGGAAACAGTAGCAGCAGCCCGCATAGCAGCAGCACAAACAGCACAGGCTGCAGCATGGAAAGAGAGGCCACAAGCAGCACAGACAGCAGCAGCAGCAACCTGGCTAGCAGCAGCAGCAGCAGTACGCGAAGTAGCGTCAGAGTAGTAACAGCACCAGCAGCAGAACAGCAGCAGCAGGAAAGGAAGCGCGAGCAGCAAGAAGATCTGAAGAGCAGCAGCAGCGTAAACAGCAGCAGCAGCATCGTCGCAAAGAGCAGCAACAGCATAAGTAGCAGCAGCACGAGCAGCACGAAGAGCAGCAGCGGCACGAAAATCAGCAGCGGCAGCAACAGCAGCAGCAGCAGCAGCAGGCGCACCGAGAGTGGCAATGACGCTGAGGAGGCCGTCTGCTGCTGCATCAATTGCTGCAGCAACAGCTTCATCTGCTGCTGCTCCGTGGATTTTGGAAAAGACTCCGGGAAGATTTAAAGAAAACTCAAAAGGAGACAAACAAATAAAATTAATAAATCTTTCCACCACGCAGGCCACTGAGCCTGCTGCGCCCTGCAGCAGCCCCGCACGCACCCTTGCTGCTGCTGCTGCTGCTGCTGC